GCAGTCTTAGCACAGACCTGGAACATTTACAGAAAAAAAAAACCAGTATAAAATGCAATAAAATTCCAAACATCTTCAAGAAAAACCTTCATACTTACCACATCTCTTTCCATTCCCCACCCCTCAAAGACAGCTAACACTAAAGGCTTACGAGCTTTGGTCCACAAATAATGTTATCAACTATCAGAATCACACACAAGTGCTTCCTTTTACATCAACAGTGCTGAGGACAAAGCATTTTTACCAGAAGATTGGATTATTTTTCTCTAAGTATTCCAAGACAAGATTTTGTGTGTAGAGAGATTTATATGCAGAACACATTGTTAGCAAAGATTTTTGTACAAGAAAACCCTAAAAATGTAGATATTATTACATGAAAACAATAAATGAGTACCTGCTCATAACTGGATAGCAATATTACCTTATTTATCTACTCTCAAAAGATAATAAGCACAGAGCAGTTTTACCACCCCACATCCTTATTTCATGTGGTAGAGAACTCAGCAGAACAATGGCAAACAAGGAATTTCCTGCTGCCAGTCAGTGACAGAGAAGTCTCCTGTACACTGGACTATGGGGCACCAAGCAAAGCCTTGCCTGACGGGCTTGGCTCCAACAGAGGCTCCTGATGGTCAGCTTCACACAAATTATAAACATGAAATCAATGACAAATAAGACATAAGTCAGTCGTTTTCACGAAGCCTTTCTGCTCTGTCTGCTTCCTGACAACCTTTAAAAAGACTGGTAAGATTAGACCTCTCCACTAATGCTCTCATGTCGGCTAATGAATCCAGGAACTTAGCAGCTGTAAAGATTTCACATATTTTCAACCTCCTGTTCCAATCTTTCACTTCGAGTGAAAACAAGATGAGTCTGGTGGACACAGAAGAAAGCAGCTCCAGAACCTGGGGGTGCCCATTCCTGAGCTCTTCTCCAGAGGACGACAGAGCACCACAGGGTTTGTCCCTTGGGCTGCTCACACCTTCTCTTTCCCCAAGCCAACACTACCCAAGCTCATCACCTGTCTGTGCCTCTGCTCTCTGCTCCCAAGCCTGGCCACACTGCCACACGCTCTCTCCTGGTTTATCTCTGTGTGTTTAGGTGTGTCAGTAATCAGGGAGATACAGAAAGAACTCCTATCTGAAGGGAAATCATTAATGAGCCAGCAAGGTAACAGTGCTCACTGCCAGCTGCTGCCAAACACCACTGCCAACCCCAACACTGCGTGTTTGGGGCACCACCAACCCAAGCCCAGGTCGTGCTGTGATGTGCCAGGATCAAAGGGATGGGTCTGCTGGTTCCCAACACACACTGTCCTTCACACATTTCCTACCCAGCTTTGAAACAGCACCAGGGCAGATCTGCTCTGGTCCTGAAACACTTCAGGCCAGTTCTGAGAAGGTTTCAATACTGGGAATGAAAACATATACAGGCTGAAACACGATTCTTGGTCATGACAACCTACAGTTCCAGGAGAAACTACAATTTACTGTGAAAATTCTCCACTGTCCTAAGTTTAAGAAATAAGTGACAATGTTGCTTTCCAATTTAATTAAACTCTTATGGAAATAAACAATATTTTCTAGAGCTTGGTGACTGTCCACTCCTCCTCTCTTTACTGTTTAAAACTCCCCACTATTCTTCCATTTCTGGAATATTCAGAAATTTTGTCAGATGTGTCAATATGTATTTTAGCTGTTTAATAAGCTACGTAGTTTTTTTCCTGTTCTTGCTCCAATGACCCACCCTTTCCTTCTTTCCAAAAGAAGTTCCTCTTACTAAACCCTCTTGCTCATGTCAGTTGTGTTTTTCCTGTAGCCCCCACTTTTAGTCATTGATGGCTGTACAAATGCCAAGCAAGGACAGACAATTCCACACAAGGATGGCAGAGGTTTAGTCCTACTTCAAGCAGCTGCAATGACAGTGGAAAAAACAGACCCCACACAGTAGAACGGAGTCGAGATCTTCTGAACTAGTATGGGTTATTTTTCCTGTCAGAAAAAGGAAGTATACTCTTCCTTAGTCAAAGATGCATTTTTAAAATAGATTTCATATTTTACTTCCTGCCATCACATTAAAAGGTCACACTGTTTATGCTACTGTAACCTGTTACTGTGGGATCAGAAATGATATAAACAAGCAATTCTCATTCAAATGTGCACAAGGGAAGAAGGTTATGAGAACATTCCTCTCTCTATGTGTAGAATACTTGTTCTAAATAAAAATAAAGAATCTGAGAAACAGAGTGTCTTTTGTAGGACGGCTCATAGCATCAAGTACTCCATGAAACAAGTACTTCACAGAAGCAGCATAAAATTCTGGGAACTTCAGATACAAGAAAAAGCACCTGAAAGACCATAAATAGAACAGCTACTTTAAGTTCAAAATAGTACTATGTAGTAGCATTTTTAACAAGTGATTATTTTAGTACATTAAGTACAGTGAGCTTTCAGCCCAGAGGGGAGAAACTCCTCTGCCTGCAGCGAGATCTGCCCAGCTCCACACTTGCCCCTGGTACAGCACCAAAGTTTTCTTATTTTCTGTAGAAACTTCTTCAACCTTCTTCTAAGGAGAAGAAAAAGATGGCACCAAACGATGCCAATCTGATTCAACCATCTCTTCCCAGTCAGTGAAACAGGTAAATGATCTTCATTGCTCATCTCTTCACCCTCAGTGCTCAAGGTGACTTTTGATCCCTTTAACCACATGTTCCCAAAGCATCCACAACAACCAAGAGCTGAGACAACTACGGAACTCCTAACAGAAGGAAAGGAGACATCCTACATACAAAGTAGGAATCAAATTTCAGTTCCTAACAATGGAAACGGGCCTTTAACATAGGTATCAGTGTGTTATTTAAGTGAATTCAATGTGAGATTAATGCTGGATGCAGCAGAAAGGTGGTTTTATTTCTTCCATGAAAGATACACTCAACTAGGAGGTGGGACTGTCCAAGTATTTTTTTCATTCCAGAGACTAACAAATCAGCAACTAAATAAGGTGCATGTTCAGTATCAGTGACACCAAAAGAATTCTGCTTAAAAGGACAGTGTAATTTATCATGCCAACAAGGACTGGTAGGAGACAGGAGCAGAGTATATGCTAAAAACAAAAGTCACTGGAGAAAAATATACAACAATTTGGAAGCAATCACATCTGACTTGGTGTTGATGATAAATACTTTGAGTTTAAAAACATACAGTCTAGCTACAAGTTAAACCACAGACCTCTCAAGCAAGCTGGCTGGATTTATGTTGCTTCCATAAGTAGCTGCCCTTTACTAACTCATTACTCCACTATTTACTAATGCAAAACTTATGGAAACATAAGTTACTGGGTTATCAGCCCATATTCTAGGAAAAAGTATTGTCCAACATGAAAGCACATGGAAAGAGAACCTACAGAATTAAAAATGAGAACAAGAATTCATTAAAAACATTTCCAAAGGTTCCATATTATGCTAGCTGATTTTCCTTCCCAACAAGGACATCAGATTTTTCACTGCTGTTCTGTGAACCCTTTTTTCTTAAAAGCAGAAAGCACAAACTCGATTTGAAAGCAGATCAGCTATCACTACTAGCAGAATCACATGAATTTCCAAGAATCACTTTTATCACTTTTCCTCAGCACAATATGACAGGCAAGCTGTTGAATCTTCAGCGTGGGTGAGAGAAAAAGCACAGCTAAATGCACAGGGGTTGGGGGTGAGAGAAAAAGCACAGCTAAATGCACAGGGGTTGGGGGAAAAGGAGTTGGCTTTTGTACGACATCAGCTACAAAGGGAACACACAAAGGCACTTGGATGCTCTATCAAAGTGCCTCTCCCAGTCAAACCAGCAAGGGCATGTCTGCTGGCACTAGACTGAAAAAAAATACTTCTTGTGCAAATCAACATGAAACAAGTTGACCAATGACTAAAACAACCCCCCAAACCCCTCAGTGGTAAGTGGTGCACGCAGCCAAGCTCAGAGAGCAGATCGAGTCTCTATTAATTATGAACGTTGCAGAGAAGTGGTTTCTGCATTTTCATAAACTCACTTCTTTCAGAAAAACTCTCACTGGAGCTGCTTTCCTCTGACACTGATGCTGTGCACACTTTCACAGAGGTGCAGACACAAACGTTCCAGTCTAATAGTTTCAGTCTAGTCTAATATTTTAAAAATAATGAAGTTTTAAATGTATGCAATTCTGTAAAATGTCTGAACACTGACAGTGCTTCGCCTCAGCACTGCAGACGACACCGAGCCCTGGGCAAGGCTCTGATGTTTTGTGTCTTAGTTTGTGCTGTCCTTTTTCCAAATCAGTATTACAGAAATAAGCAGAATTAAGTAAACTTTAATATGAAATCGCTGGGAACATTCTAACCACTCCAGGTAAGGGGCTGGAGTTTGTTTTGTTTATTTTGCTAATTTGGCAGGTTTATGGTACAATATTAAATTTTCAAACATTTATCCATTTGTTGTTAATAAGCCTCCTACTCAAGTCACATTTTGAGAAACTTTCCCTCTATGTAGGGAACTTATCCCTTCCATGCTGGATAAGAGGCCTTTGATTTAACAGAGAATAACAGAATAAACCCCCTATGATGCTGAATTGTCTGAAGCATTACAGGAGCTGACCTTTCTGTCACACTCATTTGCAGGTACCTAAAAAAACCCCAAACACACAAACCCCCAAATCCTAGTAGAACACTCCTTAGTATATTTAGTGACAGAATACTGATACTAAATGCAAGTATTCTGTTCCTTCACCTCTGTGTTACAAAAGGGCATGAAAGCTAAAAAAAAAAAAAGCTATCACTCCACTGAATATAAATATCATTTTGCATATGTGGAGACTGAAGGAAAAACTAGTTTATTTAACTATGGGAAAACAAATTCACTGGCATTATGTGGTGGCTGAAACAAGCCCCCCAGTCTCACATTCACTGGAGCACAAGCAAAGACATGACTTCAAGCTTGTACCTTTTCTTACAGGTTTTGTATTTTGTAAACTCTTACCTCCTTAATTTTCTTTTATATCAAAGATGTCCACTTTGAAGCACACGTGAATTCTCAATTTTAAGGAATCACTTAGTATCCTCAGGTATATAACGAGGCTAAACTCACAATCCAAACAGATAAGTAGTGACACTGATCTAAAACCTGATAATTCTCATGTTTACAAGAAAGTAGCAGTGATATTTCAGCATAAACCACAGCTTACAAAGTCTCAGCTAAAGAGAACCCTTGGAGAAAGTCCATCTGCAAAGTATTACAAGAAAAGATTTCATTTTAATGTTTAGCTAACCATAGGATGAACTGTTATTTCAAACCTACCCAGAATATTTAGAGAGTTATTTTAGTTTCAAAAATACTTGGGTCTACCACTACCACATTTTATTCTCTACTTACAAGGGCTATTTCTATTTGAATTTAACAACATTTGGCACGTGGCCAACACTGCTTTCTCCTTAAGTTTTCTTCTATACATCTATCCTTTGAGCACCCAGAGAAGGAGGAACAAGTACCATGTGGAAGAACCTACTAACACCACAAAACCCTTCTGAATGTGCTCAGAAGTAGGTGGAGCACTGTGTGCACACTGTACCATTTCTAGGTTTTTAGCTAATGATAACCATAACAGGCTTCATTTTTCTCTGTTCTACTTTCAGCATGCTATCAACAGAAGATCTGGGTTCAAATACTTAGATTTTAGACTCTGAAAACCAAGCAAAACTAAGCATCTCAGCAGCCCCACGTATCAGGACTTGCCCAAACTCACATTTGCCAGCAGTAGACACAATTGGTCTTGACCTGAAAAAGTCTAGGAAAAACATAGCAGTGCTCTGATCCAGCCTTAACAGCACAAAATGTGCCATCACCAGCAATTCAACAGGAACTCTGGTTTTCAGGGGAGGGTGCTGGCTCTGGGAACCACAGAGACTCTGCTACTCCATCCCTGTTTGCCCCTCCACAACAGGTATCAAAATTCAGTGGCTGCACAACCTGGAAAACACGGAATATGTCTGGCTTATTGAAGGAAAAGAGACTCCCTGCAACTCTCAGTTCTAAACCAGCTTTCCATAACCAGAGCCAATTATATTAAAGCCTCGGATGAATCAACAGAGCACGAATTAAGCAGTGGCAAGGCATTGCATGCAGAGACCTGCACTCTGCAGCAGCAAGAACTGGCAGAATAAAGCCCAAAGATGCATCCATAATAAGTCATGCTCATGCCTCAATTTATCTGCTGCTCAGCACCAGGGCAAAGCAGTAACCCAAATGCAGCAGGACAACATCTGAACCCTCCTGCAGCTCGTAAACCAAAAACACTTGTAGGACTTCCTGCTCACTGACTTTAAATACACAACACAACCACACTAGTACAAGCCTACAGGGTCAACCATTTCACAGTTTACTTTCAGCATCAAAACCTATCTACATATTCTACAAATATTTCCCAGAGACAGTGAATATGTAAAAAACTTCCCATGCCTTTTCTCTCTTCACAGAGAGATATCCAAACGTCCACAAAACCTTTCTGTCTTCCTCCCATCGTCTGAGTAAAGCTTATTAATTTTCATAATGTGGAGTATTTTAGTTTAGCTTGGAGAGGGGATTGGAAAAACTGACATTCACATTCATATTTGTTTAGAATACCCTCAAAAATTAATAAAGAAACTTAGAACAATTCTGTGCCTCTTACAGGCCTCAAACCCAACTCTTAACTGCACTTCAGCTTTCCAGAGTTCCCAGCAGCATAGTTAGTTCAGGATACCCACTTCCAAATATATTTGAAAATGCAGACTATGCCCAGTTCTTTCTTACTTTATATTCTGCTAACTATAAAAATTAGAAAAGAGTGCACATTTTAGTTTCATTTTGTTACCTTCACATGGAAAACTCTGCATGAGCTGTGCCCAAATGTCAGCTCTGCCTCTCTCCATAGTGCATGGAATCCCAGTTGAATGGCAAATAATTCAGAGGTATTTTTGCTGTTCCTGATAAGCACATCAACATTAATATCATTGGCCAACATACTAAAGTCAACATACTCAGTTTATATAAACACAAGAAGCAACCCTACCTGTATTTGAGGGTTGTGTTTTTAAGATAATATCTCATTCTATCACACCGTGTGAGAAGTTAGAAACTGAAATACCTCCTAAAATTCCGAAAGACTTCTGCAGATAAAATTACTGTGAAAATGCAGGTTGCACTCACTGTGAGTAAATGAAAATCAAATGTTGCTTTGATATTCTGAACAAATATCTACCTTTTTCTCACCTGCTCTAACAGCAAGCCTAAACTGTGTTTTTCTTAGCTTTGGGCTATGGGTTTTTTGTTGTGACATCTGCAGAGCGAATGCTTTTCATTCCAATAGATAGTTCTGATGATATTTATGCAGGGTGCTGTACCATTCACTTACCCTTGAGCACTTGTTTTCTGTTGCACACCTTTAGCACGTGGCAAAGCTCACCTTTAATCACGTTCCTTTAACTTACTGTTTTATGGAAGAGGATTTGAATTTGAATGGGCCTTTCTAATGCTTAGATCAGGTCTTATTTTATTTATTATCTTCTAAGTACGTTTCTCTAAAATACAAGCAACAGCCAGAGCCTGAGCAGTTCTTTTTATCACTTAGGTCCCTGAACAACCTTCACAGGATCTCATGGCTCATAGTTCTTGTAGCAAGTAAATCTAGAAGAAAATAAAGGGATAAGAATGGGTATTAAAAAACAAAAAAAAACCCTCACCCCAAAACTAAAATCAAAACCAACAAAAAAAAAAATCACCAAACCAACAAAACACGAAGAAGTTCATCACTGTTCACCCTGCTCTGACCAGCTGCCCTGGAGAATGTTCCACTACACATGTGGTGCCCAAGTCATGTCGTCACAAAATCACCTACATGAGGTCTTAATTTTGAAATGTTTGTGTCCCCATCCTGTGATTATTTCTGCTGAAAAAAAAAAAAAAGTAATCTAAATTCTGTTCTGTCACAACTGTACTATCACAGCTGAACACGGCTTCCGCTCGTCCAAAAAACAACAAAAAAAAAGAAGCTGGGACAATTTTAACCCTTCTAAGTCACGTGGCACCCAGACAAGCCTCCTTGTAGCCATACCTTCAATTAGCTTCACCTCCCTGTAGTATTCCTGACTCCTCCTCCAGATGCTGTGCAGCTCTGTATCTCTAGATAACAGATTTAGCCAAGAGCAAGAAGAAGAGCCTGTTGGCAAATTGCATTATGTTCACTTGGATTACTGGTGAACATTTCTGGATTTCAGCAGTTACAGTCGTTAACACCAGCTACCAGAAGCCTGTGGTACAATGAACTTGGGGGAAGGCTTTTTTTCTGCACCAATAACATAGATTATTCTACTTACTGCATTCTTCAGGCAAAGCCTGGTATTTGTAGGAAAACTGCTTTGTTAATGTCACAGCCCAGACATCAAAAGCACGGATTATAGAGAAGCACATTGTTCTTCCAGATGTACATGACCTGCCAAGATGTCATTTTCAACAGCTGATTTAAAAGCAGGATACAGTTGAGAAACTGAATTTCATGACACAGATGCACATATTTACTAATCAATCTCAGGGAAAAAAAAAAACCAAGTAAAAACCCCACCCACTGTGCGTATCAATAGTTGGATGCAAATCAAAGAATCACTTTAGTCCTTTTATTTTTTTTAATTGAATTTCAATCCTGAATCAAAGCTCATGCTGTGCCACACTTGAGGCAAGCTACTGAGTCACATCATTCAAAGAGAGAAGGACAAAAATATCACTGAATGCTGATCCTTCACTGAAAATGGCCCATTCCCTCATTCTCCTTAGATACTTCATTTCTGTAATTAAATTGTACCTGTAGAATTAGACCTCTTCCATTACAAAGCTCTATTACTCAAAATAATTTCCTGAGTACTAAGCCTGCAACACACCAAATCGTCCAGAACAGTTCAGCAAAAACATAACGTCATATATCCACATGACTTTCAACTGATACAGTCAGCAAAGCACAGACACTCTGCAGGGAAGGAAATATAAAAAAGGGACCTTCTGAAAAGCATGCTCAACGTTTCATGCTTATTCTCTAAATGTCAAACAACTGAAGACGTTCATCCTGCAAACTATTACTTTTAAAACTTGCCTGCTGTGATTCTGAAATTCGAGTCCATTTATTTCACTTTTACACAACTTCACTCCTTCTTTTAGAGGTCTATCGCCAGAGAAATTCATACCAAAAGGAAGCAAAGCTCAACTTCTTTGTTGCAAATGTGAACTTCAGCTCATTTATGCAATATACCAGCCTAAACATTCAAATGGATGTTTAAGTAATGTTGCCTGATCTGACTGAACACATCCACCCAGCCATTCATGTACTTCATCTTCTCTTAAACTTCACTTTAGATACACGTGTGAAGAACTTTTAAAGAAAAAAGCACTAATTTCTGTGGCTCGTATGTGAAACTGGATCCAGCAGCCAAATACCCCTGCAAGCACTCACGTTTGCTACACAGGTGTTTTAAAATGTCACAAAAAATCTACATGCAGTAAACGACATAACAAAAAACGAGTACCAGCCAATTGCACAAGTATTACTAACATGCTGTTTTAGGCTCTGTTCTACGATTAAGGTGACTGCAAAGCTCGGTGCGTGAGACGCTGCCCATCACTGCTTTTCTGTTCCAAAACAAAAGGCAAATCCGACAGATTCCCTCCCCCGCGGCTCGGAAAGCGCAGTTCTAACAGGCTGCTGAGGACTGATGTCCGAGCTGGGCTCCAAGCGGCGCCTGGACGAGCCCGGAGCGCGGCTGAGGATCCGGCCGGGGCAGCTCCTCCCGCTCCGGGCCCGCGGCCGTCCGCCCCGCGCTGCCCGCCCGGGGTCCCGGGGCTGTGCCGGGGTCCGGGGGCTGTGCCCGGGGGGCAGGGGCGTCTCCCGAGGGCACGCGGGGCCTCCGTGCCGCCCGGCGGGGCTGAGCGGCAGGCACCGAGGGCTCGGGGGCGCGGGGCAGGGCCCCCGGCGGGCAGGGCAGGGCAAGGGCAGGGCAGGGCAGGGCGAGCCCCCGGGGCCGGGGCAGCACCGGCGGCGGCACAGGGAGAGCGTGCGGGAGCGCTCCCGCTCGCGCGGGCAGAGCCGGCCGG